ACACCACTCTAGTTTTTTTTTTCTATAACATTTTTTCCTATTCTTCAAAAACGCAACAGAAGGGGCGACGGCGACAACGAAGCAAGGCTATCATGAGTAAGAGGAAATTGTCACCAATTGTGGTAAGCAGCAGAGGAAGACTTGCTACGAAAATAAAAATAAACCTGTTCATTTCGTATTCCCATTGTAGTCGGTAACTTAGGATTTGGGGAGACCGATGAAGGACTTCGTAAGGGCTCGCCAGCAAAAGTGCAGGGAACCGACAGCGATCCCAAATAGGAAATCACACCACGTACGAGCAGTTCAACGATTACCACAAAAAATAATGCGTGCTCTACGGAAAACATTAAAACATCCAGAGATTTAAAAGTTTTTTCTGGAGCTGTTTTTTGTCCGCCACCGATGTCGCCTAATCACAATCTACGTAACTATACCAGGGAATTAGTCCACCTATATATGCAAGCCTCATCCACCCATCCCTAACACTTACAAGTTCAGTTAGAACAGGTCAATAATGTTCCCATCAATGACACAAAGCTAGCAGTCTACATTCAGACAGCCTTTCAAAAAAACCCTTATATTGAAAAAAGTAAATGACGAAACAATCCAAGCTTCACGACTAACTTTTTCACGTCGCTGCTACTATGAGGTCGCTTCATTGAACGCAATGATTCGTGAGCAACTGCTCCTGGATCTGATTCAACCTGAAAGAAAATGCTAAATCAATAACTTAAAAACTATTACAACAGATAAGTAAGAGGCCTATTTCAGATTTTGATGTTCCAACTACTTCACTTGCCCATATTCAAAGAAGTCGAAAGGTGATCAAACAAAAGCCCCTTCAAACTGACCTTTTGGCTTTCCTTTGGAATTATTCGCATCAACCATGAAGATAACGGTTGTTGAAGGGTCTTAACGTGAAAACTATAGATAAAACGCCGAAAGAGCACAATAGAGCACAAGGAAAATAATCCGTCTCACACAGTGAAAGCACTCACATTCAAGAATTCAGCGCTTAACACTTTCTCCACGGGTGTATCTGGAGCAGGGTGCGGTGATGCTGTATCTTGAGCGACTATATCAAACGACGATGCTGAATCTGAGCTCTCAGCTTCCGCTCCAGGTGAAGATGAAGTCTAAAAGTTGTGCAATGAAAACTGATCATTATTCAGATGTCGGTCGATGTTCATTAAGATAACGAAATTATTAAAAACAACACAATTAAATATTGCTTTTGGGCTGTGTATTAGGATCAGAGTTTTATGAGCATATTCTTCGGAATGAGCAGATTCCACCACCTTCCAAACTATGTTAAAAACAAAACTAACATCCAAAAATCCCATTTAAGAGAATCAAAAAGAATGCAAATACGTTGTCCGAATCCTCTTACCATATGAAACCTCCTCATTAATACACCATTCTCAAAAACGGGAAGGGTGTCATAGACGAGATCTCCCGATTACAATGGACCTACTCGGGCTACAGCGGCACGTTCTCTACTTCCCACTCCCTATCGACAGCTAGTTTCAATATCGAAATTAGCGCTGTGTTTGTGGAAGGAAATTTTCAACTTTTAAAAATGTTTTCATGAAAAAAAGTAAGAGACGACTTTACATCAAACTCACCTTGATCACATCGAATTCTGCCATAATAGACGACATGTCAGCCTCCAGCGCAGCTGGGCCGGATGGGATCTTTTTCAGCCACTTCCTCACCTAGAAAATTTCTGGGTGATGCATCTTCTTCTCACCAGTCAACTTCGATAGAGGAATTATCTTAATAGACGTACCGAATCAACCTGCTGTTTGCTCATACTGTTTGGATTTGCTGGTGTTGATCTCATGCGCAGTACCGATTTGTGGGCCATCATCTGGTCATCGCCATATTCTTCCATATCCATGGGGAGGCTTTCGCCAGGAGTTGACTAAAATGCAAAACATTACGCTCCCAATTAAAGCGTACTAATAGAGAGGCCATTAGCATTGAACTATCCAGATCGTACAGAAATGGCTGCTGAAAGATAACAATTCAGCAAAACATCACCTTCGCTCTATCAGTTGTAAAATACAAAAGTCGCACTGTTGGGGAAGATAAGGCGATGATGCCACAAAGGGAAGGGTGGAAATAAGCAGTACAACAGCTTATAGCACACTTTGAAACTACGGTATAAGCATGAGAAACTATTTAGAAACCAATACAAATAAAGAATGCGATCTTGTCAAAAAAAAGGACATAGCCAGTACCCTCCATTCACACATTGCAACCTTGTGGCCAATGCCAGTGAATATGTCTTGGCATTTACGAGACAGTAGGAAAGCAGTATATGTGAGATGCATAAAAACGTGCCTTAGCCATAGAATCGTGTTTTGATGATGTGCGAATCGTTCCGAAAGAGAGTAATGTCGAACGAAGTCCGAGCGCATCCGATTCGAACGAGACGTGAGCTGATTCTCGCGCCGATAGTTCGACATGACCAAGGCTAAACTTGGAATTTTACAGCATGAACTGAACCCAAATTATTTGTTTTCTTCTCAACTGTGGCCGCTGGACCAAGGGCCGTTCGCTAAAGAACCGATGGATGACTGAAGAGCGACATGAAATGTTCTTGAATCAATGAGAAGACATATGCAGAGCAAAAGTACACGTTCCACATGAACTTTACTCAATCTTTTCTTCGTTCACCTACTGTCCTGTAAATCAATCAGCGTACTTGAAGTACACTCCACATGTCATATCAACGACAATTTTGTTAACTGGCGACAATTTTGTTAACTGGCAAGTATTACTCGTTTCAAAGAAGTTCGTAACAAATGCTTGGAGACCGTTCAATCTCCAACTACAGTTAAAACTTCTACAAACTAAAAAGCGGAACCCCCTTAAAGGAGGATTCCACGAGAAGATCGGGGGTCAAAAGAGAAAATAAAACTAGTCGAATGGCAGACGGCCTCCAAAGGAGCAAATCGGCGCGCGTTCCGCAGCGAACGGTATGCCTCAGCGGTGACAGGGAGATACCTGCGCCGGTAGCGCCACTGCCTACCCAGCTCCACGCCGTCTGACACCAGCCATCTAACACACAGAGCGTTAGATTTGAAGAGGGCAACACCGATGAGAGTCGCATTAATGCGAAGATTAACGGGTAAGGAAGGAATACCTTCCAGGCCCCACTGGTTGATCCAACGAACATGTTTTTAAGTGCATGGGTGTATTGGTAAGCGGGCGCCCTATACCAACGGCACGGTCAGGACATCAAATTCCGCCCAGGCCAGCCATGCCTTCGGAGTCGTTCAATTGACTCGATTTGGTAGATAAAACATCGGATTGAAGATCTGCTAGCTCCCACACATGAGTCTTTTGATTTGCTTTTGAGGAGGAGAGCCACAATAACACTTCAATGTATCGCATTTTATCTCTTCTCATTATCTTATTTGAACAAAACTTAACACCAGCCAGAATTCTTTAGTGTGAAACCGTACCTGGAGAGCACATCAGCTGCACGAGTCGTCGGACTTCCACTTTCCCTCAATTTTTCCAGAGTCTGTTTGCATTCCCCTTGAAATCACGGTATCAATTCGTAGAATATGGATATAAACT